TGGTTTTAGTTCTGTTCACAGAACTGCATCCATTACTACCATCAACTTTCAGGCATTGTCATCACCCACGAAAGAAGCCCCACACTCATTAGCAGCCACTCCTGTCCCTGCCCCCCAACCCCAGGTATACCCCCCCCTCCCCAGGTAACTGCTAGTATAATCGGGACATGACACATATGTGGAATCCTATCATATGTGGTCTTTCGTGACCACCTCCTTTCCCTTAGCGTGATGTTTTCAGGCTTCGGCTCGGTTGCAGTTTATGTCAGTATTCTGTTCCTTTTTATGACTGAGTGATATTCCACCTTTACCGTTTCTCGTAAGACAGGTCTCGCAACAAATCTTCACAATTTTTAGTTGTCTGAGAGTCACTTTTTTTCACCTTTATTTTTGAAAAGGAGCTTGCTGGATGTGATTCTTGGTTGATAGTTTTTTTACTTCCAGCAGTTTGGGTATGTTATCCCACTGCCTCCTGACTGCCATTGTTTCTGACGAGAAGTCTGCCGTTACTCTGACTGGGGTGTTCTTGCACGGAATAAGTTGGTTTCCTCTTTGTCCTTTCAAGATCTCTTTATCTTTGGCTTTCAACATTTTGCCGAAGATGTGTCTGGATGTACATCTCTTTGTGTTTATTCTATTTAGAGTTTGTAGTTTCTTGGATTTCTAGATCTTTTTTCTTTCCTTTCCTTTCCTTTCCTTTCCTTTCTTTTCCTTTCCTTATTACCAAATGTGGGAAGTTTTCAGCTGTTGCATCAAAGCCATGATTCGTATTTTTCTGCCCCTCCTCCTCTTTTTCTGGTACTCTCATTACGAGTATTTTGCTGCGTTTAATGATGTCCCACATTTCTCTGAGGCTCACTCCATTTTCCTCCATTCTTTTTTTCTCTCTGTTCTTCAGATTACATAATTTCCATTGGCCTTGCAGTTTGCTGATCATTTCTTCTGCCAGCGCACATCTACCGTTGACCTCATTTTGGTTATTGTATTTTTTTATTTTTTAAATATTTTTTTGAGAGAGTG